GGAGTAGTGTTGGAATGTATGCCCAGCTGGTCCTCATCATCATATGGAACTGCAGTGGCATAGGACCGTCAGCATTGCCATGTTTAGGGCCAGGGACATATCAGAGGTCAAAGTCATACTGGCTCAGCATGAGAGACCAGTGACCTAACTTTCCCTGTTGCATCTTTGATCGACCTGAGGAATTGCAGGGCTGAATGATCAGTAATGACTGTGAATTTGTTGTATGCCAAATATGATTTAGAATGTTTGATCCCCTCAACAATAGCCAGGCACTCCTTTTGAGTGACAGGGTACAATTTCTGTGCTTTGTTAAGACTTTTCCCTCCATACGCAACAGGATGTTCCTGTTTATTTTTATCAATCTGTGACAGTACCCAACCCATGCTGCTGCCACAGGCATCACATGCTAAGATGAAGGGTTTGTTGAAATCAGGATGTACTAGTATTGGGGAAGATATGAGCGTTTGTTTTAGCTCCGGGAATGCCTTCAGGCCATGTGAAGGTGACGTTTTTGTGAAGTAGAGCATGTACAGGGGTAGCTATCATTGCATAACCCTATATGAATTTGCGATAATAGGAGGTCAGGCCAAGAAATGCTCGCAACTCACGGATGTTTGTGGGGCAGGGATATGTTTTGACACTCTCTACTTTCAAGGGATCCGTAGATACCCCTTCCTTAGAGATAACATGGTCCAGATAAGGATTTTCCTTCACTGCAAAATTGCATTTTGAGGGCTTGAGTTTAAGCCCAGCCTCCCTAAATTTGTTGAAAACCGCTACTAAGTGTTGAAGGTGTTCGTCAAAGGACGAGCTGTGAATCAACAAGTCGTCCAAATATGTTAAAACATATTTGTATAACATTCCTGAGAATATTGAGGACATAATGAAAGCAAAACAACTTGGGGCGTTGACCAGTCGGAATGGCATGACCTTGAAGTGGAACTGACCGTGACCAGGGGCAATAAAGGCAGTTTTCTCTCGACTGTCTGGAGACAGGGGAATTTGATGATAACCGCTCATCATGTCAAGAGATGAGAAAATTTGGGGATGACTTTCCTAGTGACATCAAGGATTCATCTATATTTCCTATCGGATAATGTTTAACAAGCGTGACTTTGTTAAGTTCGCGAAAATCGATACAAAATCTTGTATCTCCTGTTTTCGAACAGGGCGGTTGTCACCAGTGTCTATAGAGTGGGAAAACATATGAGTCCGGCCCAGTTCAGTGATGTCTTTAGCAAAGCAGTCACGGTGTCGGCCAGTGAATGTTAACAAAGTATGTTTTTGGTCTTCAGACAAGATAGCTTGAGAGAGGTCAATGTCTAATTCAGCTGCTCGCTGTCTCAAGTCAGTAGCAGTTGAATTGTCAGTCAAAGAGATGTGGTTGATTGACTTTAACTGATCAGCTGTAGTGTCTTTGAGTGGTCCTAAGTCAAAGTTGGAAGCAAGTGACTCAAACATAGCAATAGGTGCATTTGCCGGTAAGGTGATTGTAGAATTGGTAGGGTTGAGTAATCTGTATGGGACTTGAGAGTCAACACATCTGACTACACAATGAGTACCTATCACCTGGTGTGTTTGGGTTAAGTCATTAAGTGGCTGTAGTGTACCAGAGGCGTCCGCAGGGGTGTTAATTGGCATGTCCAATACCAAACATATTTCCGACCTTGGGGGAATGTTAACATGTGTGGGACATCTGGCCAAGAGGCTATCTGCATGGGGGCTGAGGAAGGGCGCCTCAGCTAGGCCATTGTAAAGGCAAAGCTTGTTGTTGGAGTAGTCTACTGAAGCTGCATGCTGTTTTAAAAAATCAAGGTCAAGTAAAATGTCTTGTTGTAGGTCTTCGACTACATAGAACTTGTGGGTTAGTTTAAGATTGGCAATGTACAGGACTAAGTCGACTGACCCGGGCACACTAAGCATTCTACCATCTGGTCCTGCTAATTGAGCGTGACCACTTGAAGTGAGAGGGAATTTATCTGACCCCCCTAGACTGTTAAAATGGGATAGGCCAATACAACTAGCACTAGCTCCAGTATCAACAAGGGCATTGAAGGAGGTATTGGTGATAGTGACCAACACGGTGCTATGTGCCAAGCTGATATTGTTTAGGGTATTAGATAGTGGAGGTGTACAAGTAGGTTTCTGCTGTGACTTTGGTACACCACTCTTCTGGCATCATTGCCTTTATTGTGACTGAAGGGGACACATACAGATAAGATGACCTTGTTTGTTACATTTATAACAGCGGAGATATTGGGCCTTACATTCCTGTGGCGATAAATGAAAATAGCCACAGATTGAAATTGATGACCTTGACCTACGTAGTCTTTCGGGTGAGAAGGAGTATTGGGATCTATGCGTTGGCCATATGGCTGGGAGCGATAGCCAGAGTTCACTGCATTGATGTGCGGCGAGTGGAGTGCGTTGACCTTGGCCGTAAGGTCAGTGATGGCAGACATCAGCTGATCAGATTTGAAATCTGATAGCCCTGACGTTGCATCAGATATCTCCGCACTGTCAATTACCTGGTCTAGCGAGTTATGGGGATGGGTAAGGATAAACTGATGAATATGGGGCAAGGTGTTACGGATTATAAGATCCTTGATATAAGGATCATCATTTCTATGGAGAAGTTCGGCTTCGTGACGAATCGATTGTAAGAAGGTGGAAAATGGTTCCCCAGCCTTTTGTTTACGATTCAGAAGAGCATTTTGGCGAGTAAGGAGGCTAATAGAGGATGGGGAATATCGCTGTAGGAAGGCGGTTCGTAAGTCTGGCCAGGACATTGATGCAGTGTTCTTGGTACCTTCGTACCATTCGGCTGCCATGCCAGTTAAATAAAGTGGGAAGATATCTTGGTGGTCATCATCAGTGTAGTGTTGGGCAGAAGCAAATTTCTCATAGCGGCAGAGCCAAGCTGTTGCTGCTATGGGATCTTTCCCATCATACATAGATAGGGGGAGGCGGGAACAGTTTATTGCCCTTGACAATGTCAACAGGGTATTGGCCTGGGGCTATTGGATGGGTGCAGGGCGCAGGGATGAGCGAGGAGGGGGCCGAGGGAGAAAGGATGAAGGGTGTATCTGCACATACGACTCCTGTATATCCACTAGGGGTGAGACTTGGGGAAAAGGCTTCACTACTGTGGGCTGGGGGGAAGGGTGTGTGTTAGGCCCAATTTCATCAAATGTGGCCCAATTTGGAGAGAATGGGTCCAGGGAGGGGGAAGAACGATTTACATGGTGGGAGGATTGATAGGAGCGATGTGGCTCGCTAACAGGTGTACTTTGATACTGAATTTCGGGAACGAGCAGTGGTAGGCAGTCGTCAGCTTTAAGGGGGTTAATTTTATAGACAGACATGGTATAAATATGCAGAAAATTATTAACAAAATTTAGGTAAAATAACTGAGTCTAAAGGAGGACAAAAACAAGTTGCTCACCAAAATGGAGAGAGAGATCTGGAGCAGTACTGGTAGTTTACACAGTTCGTGGTTCTTGACACTGTCACTGCACAGATGCGGTTGCCTTGGCGGTTGCCCTGTCGTTGGTGACAAACGGACTTGCTGCGGTAGACTTGAGGCTGGACGACTATATTGATAGCCGGGAGATCGTCACTCGTGACGTGGAGTGAAGGACTCGAGCTGGAGTGTTGAAGGTAGGTACAATGAGCTAGTCACTGCTGGAGTGGAGTGGAGTTCTTGTGGCTGGACCGTCACAGGTGAGCACAATGAGGTCGTGCTATGAAAGATTTTCTGACACTGCTGAAACACACTGTTTAAGTAGAATGAGCAGCGGCCTGACGAGGTCACCTGTTGGGCGAACGTTGTTAGGATTGAGGTCCAGTTACACAAGTTCCTGACTTATTGAGCACTAGTGGTATTGTTTGTACCGGAACATAAGTTGTTGGTGCTCTAGAATGGTGTCTACCGACAGTCGGGTGGAATTTTAGTGCTGGTTGTAGACCCCAGACGAAATTAATGAAGATAATAGGTACACTAACCTCAGTTCTTGCTGCTTGGAGGTACAGGAATCTTTTCTCCACCAATATATCCGCCGTGTTCTAGGGGATACTTCTTCTTGGCTCCTTCTATATACGACACAAGTCCGTCTGAGGGTCCACAACAACTTTATTGAGACACAGTTACAACGTGTAGCTCTGACTCTCAGCCTCAACTGCCCCCTCAGCTGGTTCACAATCATATATATCTTTCCTCAACGTATCTTACATTCCTGACCATGGTCCTAATAAGGTTATACCTCCTGACCAGTAGCACCTCGTCTGCAATCCCCCATGTTATCAATGCAGTGACCATCAGGATATCTCCTTTTTGGGCTTGTATTCTAAGAATATCCCTGAGTTCTCTCACCCCTTATTTGGACGTCCCTCCGTGGCTAACATGCATGTTCTAGCCAGGTCAACGGCAGTTCAAAGGTGCATCCCCCCACAGGGTACTTCGCCAAGGGGGAGACAAAGGGGGAGGGTGTGAGTAATGCCACTGATTAATATCTCTCAACACAGGGCCCCGTCCTGCAAATCTTGCCTCTGATACATGTTACCGATTTAACACTTTTGTGATGTTCTGGGATGAAGGGTTTACAACTGACCTCGGCATTCACAGAATTTGCAACAAATTGGGCAGGCCTTACAGGAAGAATAGCAAAGGATACCACAGGAGACAATCCCGCGTTTTACATCTAGTATGCCCAGAAGATGTCATACGTGCATCAATGCTCATGGGGCATGGACCAGCAACTCCACAACGTCTTTTTAAAAAAAAAATCATTTCTGAATAAATTTGGGTGTTCCCTTAAATATTGTTCCTAGTACATTTGAATTGTCAGTCAACAGTTCTGTGTTCATACACGTTCATAGCTTAGACTAAGAGATAATGTAGGATGCTAGCCGACAATTTCAACTGTCATCCACATAGGTTACTATACTTAGAGAAAATGTCACAAGCAAATAAAGTTGATCAACAATGTCTTGTGTTGCAGACAACGGAAAGAAGGGGAGGTAACTGAGATACTGATCAAGCAGGCATGTATAACAATTTTGAGTTCAGTGCCTGAGTCTGACCAGCCCAAAGATAACTCGGTACCAACCCTGCCAGCCAGGACGACATATGACGTGTTCATATCCTACTCTCATCGAGACCCGACACCTGCCCAGACTCTGCTGCAGTGTCTTCAGGAACAGGACTCCACACTCAGTGTCTTCTTCGACAGGAGCGAACTCACGACTGGTAACGTTAACAATCTCCCTACCTTTATTCAACCAAGACAGGTCAACAGATCTGCTGAGATTGAAAATTGTTTGAAGTTGCTGTTATTTTAAATAGAAAGTACATCAATTTTGTGGGGATTCTGGGACAGAAATGGTCCCCAGCTCCTCATGCTTCTCATAGGATTGACAAAAAGAGGGATTGTTGATCAGATTCTGTTTAGGACTGATTGTTTGTCAATGTGCCCTTAAATTGTGGACCAACGTTCATGCTTGGGATATAGGTGGAATATTGCTGCCTACTGCGTGAAACAGTTGTCATGATTGTAACTCACTAACATTGTATCACTTATTTTCTATGTGATTTCATTGCAGGAAGTCTCTGGCAGCAGAGCCTGTATGATGCCATGGACAGCGCCCGCTGCGTGGTGGCGCTGCTGTCCATGAGCTACATGGTATCTGACGTGTGTAAGGAGGAGTACAACATTGCCCTTGCTAGGGCTTTTGCTTCAGTAAGAATTTGCACAAGCAGAATTTTATGTATTCAGAATCCACAGCCCATGCTTGTTGTAAGAGTCAATCAAAATGAGGATTGGTTACAGATCTGTAGGAATTTCCATCATAGTAACCCAACAGTGCTTCATTGTTGAGTAAATTATGATACAACTTCCTCCATTGTTCATGATGGAACAAATTAATTAAACTACATCTTCGGAAGAATAGGGTACCTTTAATTAAAGGGCAAGTAAAGTCAACAGAGCAACTTTGCAGATTTTAATACTTTAGGGCATAACTAATCACAAATGCTTGACCAAAATGATATTTGGAAAATGAAAATAGCATAAAATGGACAATAAGAAACAACAGGCGAAATCGTTTCTGAAAAGAAAAAATCCACCACTGAGGGGATTCCCCATACTGGGGTTAAAACAGGTTCCTGGTGTTTGACGTGCTGCACTGAGCAATTTCAATGAACGGTCAGGCGCCCAGTCTGCCTGCTTCCACTGCAGACCTTTTAATCAGCTGTTTCTGTCTGCCCATCCATTTTATTACTGTAGAATAGGACCAAGGGCAGCAGGTGTTTTAGGGGGGGTCTTCCTACTTTTCCAGCACCTATTGTTATAGGTACAAATTCACCCGAATGGGATGATATGTAAGACAATAGGGGACACAACCAATTGGCAATGTTAACATACACTGTACTGAGTGAAAACCTTTATAATATACGGCAATGAGTGAGTGAACATATTAATAATTTAGTATGATTTGGGCTATAAAAGGGATTACAGACATGTAATCTATGTTTTTACTTAGCATATTTTTACTGAAACATTTGTGCGACCTATAACTAGAAATCTACTTCATGGATTCTTTTCAAATTTATGGAACAGTTTCCATACTAATCATGCTAATAGATGAGATGCATTCCAAAGTTTAATTTTTATATGTGTATTTTCTATAAAAAAAAGAAGATTTTGTTCATGTTTTGAACTTTCTTTTTTTTTTTAGTTCAACATTTGTGTGACCTATAACTTGACAACGTCTTCATGGATTCTTTTACCAATTGGGGGTACAGTTTCTATATCAATAGGAGAGGTGCAGTGTGAAGTTTGATTTCGAAAGGGGATTTTGGCAGTGTGAAGTTTGATTTCGAAAAGGGGATTTTCTGAGAAAATATTGCTTTTTTCATGTTTTGAACTTACAAATATGTTGAAGTCGAAGTCAGGAGTAAAAGTGAGCCCTGTTCACTTTTTGTCTTGTTTTTGTAGGATTAACAGAAATAGCAGAATCAGTTTATGTATAGCCGCTAAGAATCACATATCAGTAAAGCCCCAGAAAACCTGTGTCACACACCGCTGTGCCGGTACGTTTAGGTCATGCCCCCCAATATGTGATTTCAGCACTATCACTTGAACATTTAAATACTTTCTACGAATATCATGAAGTTTTCTATCTTGGAAATTGTCTTTGAATGAATCTAGGAAAATTGATATTTGCAACAAAATCTCATTAATTTTGTTCAATTTACTTGCCCTTTAAGATTCTCTGTAGGGTTGATATTTCATGTTTCTCCCTTCATTTTCTCTTTAAAATGTCAATGAGTATGTGTCAATGTCTGTGTGTATCTGTGTGTTTTGTGTGGTAACCTTGAAACTTGGAATTACAGATTATCAGTCCCTCATGAATGAATGCTGTAAGTCACTCACCAAAGGCTGGGGATTTACATAATTCATATTCATTCACTCAGGACAGATCGTCTGTAATTCATCGTAGCTCTAATTATGCAATAGTTAAATATTTTGTCGTAAATACTTCCTTTCTGATACAATCATGGTAATGCATCATCAATATTTCATCAGTGTGTACACCACCTTCCTCCATCACATCTCTAAACTGGAAGTCTGCGGTTCGGGAAAACAAGCAGAAAATAGCACTTTCAATTATGTTTTTGTCTTTTGCGTAAAAATATGGTTGGTAGGTATTTAAAACAAGTAATTATAATTCAATGTCATGATGGCCTTGATCTGAACAATACTGTAGTGGTGAGTTTAATATCTTATGTTGGGACATACATGAAGCAGTTTGTGATATATTTTATTGCTAAATAGGGTTTTCAGACTCAATGGGAATAAAAGAACTTGCCCTATTCAACGTAATAATTAAGCGCTCCGCTCTAATAAGCGCCCACGGCGATATTTGCTAATATATTGGCTAGTGAACAATCCCAATTAGCACCCCTTCCGATTTATCAATGTACATAAGACTTATTTATTCGTGTATATATGTGTATTATATGCATTCTTAATTATGGGAAATTAAATTCTGGAAAAATATATCTGTCGTATATAAATAGTTCAGGCTGTCAGCATAAACCACTAAATTTACGAACTTTCAACTCTGTTGTTTTTCACCAAAATAATATTCTAATAAGAGCCCCCTATTTCTAATTTTGAGAGTGCCCTGGGCGCTTATTATGTCGAATACGGTATTCTATTTTCCTGGGTGATGAAGTATTGATGATGCACATAATGATGTAGAAGTGCCGTGAGGATGCTTTCACAAATAATTGATGTTGATCCTTTCAGGAAGATGTCTCTCTGATTCCTGTTTCTGTAGAATCTTTGGAGGTCATCCCTCAGGCCTTCAGTCATGTGAAAATACTTAATGGATCATTAGCCAATCAAAATGATGCCCTCAGACAGATCTCCAGGGAAGTGATTAATTTGGTCAGAAATGGACAGAAGGGACCAAATATTGTAAAGGTATTATTCATTCTGAAACAAATAAATATCGAATGACCTAATAACCTGAACTCTGTTTAATAAGTGAGTGATTGAGGAAGGCATAAACACGGTAAGCCATTCTACTCAATATTCCAGAAATATGGACATGGAGAGCCATCTCTCTCAGTTACACCAGCTGTCTTGATATTTCAGCCAACTCACTCAGGTATTCCTCAGGGAGCTCAACTGCTGCGACGGAATAAAGAATTTGCACGGTACAAAGTAGAGGGAAAAGAAATCATACATAAGGACCCAAACCAACACTCAATGAGTAACGAGATGCCAGTGGACAGAGGTGGCCAACAGATTGTGTTCAGCTTTTCTCACGACTCACTCCGCCTTGCTATTATTCTGTCTGAGTTGATAAACCAGGCATCACCAGACACAAACTGCACTTTCATCAGTGAGAATAACAAGGATAGACTCCACTTGATGGACCAGTCCCAGCTTGTGGTGATCATAGTATCTGACGGCTACACCCAGTCAGCTCAGCTCCTTGAGGAGCTTCATCTCAGCCTCTGTCGCCAGCGGAGAGAAAAGCCCAGGAGGATGATGTACCTGATCGAGGGATTACACCTCAGTGCCAAACCTGAATACCTCCATCTCCTGGACTACAAAGTCAGCATCACTGACAAACTGTGGACTGCTCAGACAACCAAGGGAAAAAGACCTGATGAGTTTTTCACTGCAACAAGAGGTGGAATTAAGGGCTCTTACACTTGCACTCTGCCAGAGCGTCTGGCCCTCAGCAAAGCTACACTTGACATCCTGGATATTGTGTACAATCGGTGAATCTTTTGTTCCTCTGTTTGTCTCCTTAGCTCACCTTCACAACCAACATGGCACCGAATCTGGTGATATATCACTTTGGGGTGATAGGCTTTCACCTGTTACATCCATGAGTCCCTTCCAAAAAGTGATCTTAGCATAATGACTGTCATAACTCTCCAATATGGTTAAGCTTGTTTTGTGGAACTTGGCCTAGAACTATGGAAATATAAAACTGATGAAGCCTTGCTTGTCAATCTTTCCTTGGTTGATATTCCGTTTCATTCATTACCTCATTCTTGGCAGGCATGGAAATTAACACAAAAGGACAAACAGGCCCACATAGCTTGTCGGTCTTTTTTTCTGCTGACACTGCAATAAGTGACTAGTCCTTAATAAACAAAGATCTGAGGACATCACATGACAGTTCATGTCAGAACAACTTTTTGCGAACTTTGAACGACCTATGAAATGGCTAACAAGAAGTCGACATTTATCCAGTCAGAAAGCAGCTTTTCTTGAAGTATTGTGGAATACCTCGTTTTAATCTTTCTGAGGTGGCATGATTAGAAAACCCATTCAGACTGTCATTTATCTGATCTGGAAAGCGATGCTCTGTTTGGTCAGAAGAAAGGTCGTTCTGACATGACCTATAATGGGATGTCCTCAGATCTTTGTTCAGCAGTTGGTGAAAACAAAAGGATCTGATTTTAATGAGATTGGATTCAAACATAATCCAATAAAATTACCCTCATCATCTTGGAGAAATTCTTTACTAAGTTAGATTGAATGAGTATGGTTTAGTGCTGCTTTTAGCAATGTTCCAGCAATATCACGGCAGGGGATACCAGAAATGGGCTTCACACATTGTACCAATGTGGGGAATCAAACCTTGGCCTTTGGTGTGATGAGCAAACACTTTAACCACAGGGCAACCCCATCGACCCTAGGTAAATTATACATAGCAGTGATGGAGGTGGTCACTTCTGAAATTAGGGACCAGTCATTTATTATGACAGGGGTGTGCAGAGAGAATCGGGGAATGGTCACCCAAAAATAGGACATTCTCTAGGGGAGGGTCATAAATATTATTACATGTAATAGGTCCAGTTTTCACCCTTGCCGAACAGACTGGAATTTCTGGGCTTGATCTTAGCGCCACCAGTGGCTATTACAAGTTTTGTCCCTTCTATGTCACTTGCATTGCTTAAAACAAAATGGTGGTGCCCAGTCAAGACTATCTCATTGATAATTAAGAGTTTTATTGCAATAAATCAGGATTTACCTCGCGAAGTGCATCAAATAACTTGAGCACCTTAATTAAAAACATGAAAAGATTTGGAAAATATCATTCAACGCTCAGTTGATGGTACACAAGCTCTGCAAATACTGCAATTGAAGGAATTCGGCAAGGCAGTTGCCATGTTATTTATGAACCGGATGTTGATTTCGTTATTGGATTTTGATAGGACTATGCTTGGACTTGTTAGTCCAGCCAAAATATAACTCCATAATTCCAGCCTAGTTCGGCAAGGGTGGGAACTGGACTTTTAGAGTCAGTTGACTCCCTTGCCTTTGGGAAGATGGTACATTAGTGCATCAAAAATCTCTGACCATCCCTCCTTGTAATAAATTATCGGTCCCTTAGAGCAGGTTATTTATCATGATAGGATGTCAATATGATACCCCAAATAATCAAGGTTCTTTTTGCAGTTCTATCTCACCCTGTTTCAGATCTCCTTACATACACATAGGCAGCATCCTCAACATCCTCAACATTGGCAGCCTCCTTGCAGACGATGATGACGAAAGTGTCCCATTCAAACAGGTACACCAACAATTAAATACTGGATACTAAATCAACATGCATCTATTTTATTAAAAACAAATATGGTTTGGTCCTTGTGCATGTTGTGAACTCTTGTTATTTTACACCTTCCAAACTTTGACCATGTGAAAATAAGTGAAACTGCATCTTACTTTAGTGGTACATGGTTTACAAAATTTCTCTGCAGAATTGCGTCCCTTAGCATGCTCAGTTGTGCCATGATCCTGTGATCAGGTTTGAATCCATCTTTAACATGGACATGACATTAACTTCAACAGTTGTTCAACCCACTACTTGAACCAGTATCTATGGCTGGAGGTTTAACTCCATACAGGGAGTCTACCTGTTGTGCTTATGTGAGGTTGCTCGAGCATATTAGTTCCAGATCATATATACTTGTATGAAACTTTTCTGATAATCTCAAGTGATAGTATTATTGTGTGATGTATTTGTATATCCTTTCAATATGGCTACATATTGTTTAGAGATGCCATCCATTATGAATTTGACAGAAACATTCTGATATTTAGAAGCAAATAAATATATAAATAGTGTCCCAAAATCATTGCCTGTAAGTTTATCTAGATATTGACCTCACAACAGTCATTTTCACATGTACCATCAATTAATAATCAGTCTAATCACTTGTTTGAGAGGCATTTAGAAGTTGAAGTACTAAGTAAGGATAAGATATATGGATGAACAACTTATTTATAATCCACCGCCCCAACGAAGTTGGCAGAGGATATTGAAATGGTTCCCGTCCGTCCGTCCGTGTGTGTGTTTGTGTATGCGTCCCAAAATGGTTTCTGGAGCGTAACTCTGAAACCGTTAAATATTTCTCTACAAAACATTGCATGTCTATCAGACTCATGCTGAACTGGTGCCTTTTGCTATTTAGGGATTTTAGAAATTTTTATTTTTTGAGTTTCCATGGCAACAAGTTGGACTTAGGTTCTATAAGGGTAGTGTTTGTTTCCCGAGCGTAACTCAAAAACTGTTAAATACTTTTTTTTACAAAACTTTGCATGTCTACCAGGCACATACTGAACTGGTGCCTTTTGATATTTAGCACTTTTAGAAATTTTTATTGTTTATGTTTCCATGACAAGTTGGATTTAAGTTTTAATATAGGGTTGGTTCACTTAAGGAGTATAACAAATAAACTGTTAAATATTTCCTGCCAAACATTGCATGTCTATATATAAAGCACATACTGAACTGGTGCCACTTGATATTAAGGAGTTTTTGAAATGTTTATTTTAGAATTTCCATTGCAGCTATTTTGACATGGACTCAGAGAAATGTTGAGTCAGTTACCTGGTTTGGGACCATAACGTGTTAAAATGGGCGGGGGATATAGATGACGTCATCGACTATACGCTTGTTACAATTAGGAGTGATGTTTCTGCGTAGGTTCTAACACCGTTATCACGGTCTTTTCACTTGCTTGAAAACGGTGTTAGAACGTCGCTTCTAATTGTTATAAAGAAGTTGTTCATCCATATATTTTATCCTTACTTATAATCACTTGATTAAACTTGTGATGGGAGGGTTGCAAATTTTGAGGAGATATGAAATATCATAAGATGATATATTTTTATCAAAACTATGTAGTCATGCTTATAATGATTACCGTATTCGACGTAATAAGCGCCCCACTCTAATAAGCGCCCACAGCAATATTTGCTAATATATTGGCCAGTGAACAATCCTAATTAACACCCCTTCCGATTGATCAATGTACACAAGACTTATTTATTCGCGTATAATACGCACTCATGTGTTATATGCACACTTAATTATGGGCAATTAAATTCTGGAAAAATATATCTGTCGTACATAAACCACGAAATTTATGTTTTAACTCTGGGTTTTTTTCCACTAAAATAATATTCTAATAAGAGCCCCATATTTCTAATTTTTAGAGCGCCCTGGGCGCTTATTACGTCGAATATGGTAATAATTATTACTAATTATTTTGAAAAATTGGTAATTTTAGATGCCAGTTATCGCAGATATTCATCATTGCCTCCATGTGGGGGTTAGTTTTTCTGTATTGTTGTGTGTTTATTGTATGTTCTAAAGTAATGAGAGTTGTGTTTTTCTGCAGTTTTCAAAGGCAATACAGATTGGCGATAACCCATCAGGGGAGGCAACCAGCGATAGACCCGACTCGGCAGACAAGTTCTGTGATATAAGCAGTACTCATGAAGATGCTGATTTGATGATGCAAGCAAAACTATTCAGTGCCAGTGCCAAAAAATTGAAAAGGAGTTCCTTTTGTGTCATTTTATAATGGTTAGTTTAGGTATCCAACACTCTATTGCTGGGTGTAAGGCATACTGTAATTAACTGGATCTGGTGTCCAAGATTCAGTGACTTGGTTATGTGTCATCGTACCCTGAACGTGCTGTGACTTAATCTCAGGTCCACTCTCAAATGGCAGGGTCCCACATCAATACGTCCACTCTCCAATGGCAGGGTCCGACATCAATACGTCCACTTTCCAATGGCAGGGTCCATCTTCAGTAGGACAACTCTCCAATGGCAAACAAATGATGATATTATTTGAATACATGTGTTGTGTCAGATGTTTCTGAATAGCAAGTTGTGCATACTGGGGTTCATAGGCTCATGTCACCTCTCTTTTTGAGGAACTATTTTATTCCGATACAGCTGGTTGTTGTATGGCTGTAAACATGAAGTCACACCTACTAAATAAAATTGTGTATAGAACTAGACCTACATCCTTTGAATAAAGAATTGTGATAAACAGTTATAAGAATTGACTTTCACTTTGAACCTTTATACTCTAATGAACTCACACAAAGTGAAAGTCAATTCTTATAATTGTTAATATATATTTATACTTTCTATCTGTATTTTAATCTGAGTATGTAGTATTTTGTTACTTTGATGCTGAATATTAAGTCAGATAACTCACGTGTTATTGGACATTCGTTACAATGCTGGCTTGTAATCATTTATAACAAATCTCCAGTTACTTGTGTCATCCTTAACATAACATGGTCCGTGTGTGTATCGTAGGTGGGAAAGTTTACACATCCTCTTGATTTAATTTTTGTCTGGATCGTAAAGAAGATTTACACAGATAAGAAACATGTGGGTGTATCATTTTGAACCGTCATCCTGAAACTAAAGGAACCATAGCAACAAGACTAGTAGTTGGGTATAATAATTATTCTGCCTCAATAGGTGTGTTAAACGGATGTATTATGTTACATCAGAGACCATATAATAGATGGTCTCTGGTTACATGTATCGGGTGAAGTCAAACAATGGCTACTATTTTCTAATACTTTTACAAAAAAAAATTCTGAAATGTGTTTATATGTACATGTTGTTGGAAGGTGTGTTTCCAAGTTGATTTTATTTATTATTAAGTTGTCACAGTACAACTCACTTGTAACAGCTGCTGGTTATGGACTCTGACTGTATTCAAGGTACAGTCATCAATGAATAAATAGTTGATCAAGTTTATTAGCATGATCGAATGTAAAGCAATAATTGTTTTGTTTTATTTCTCTCCATGGCTCTGAATATCTGCAATCATGTGACATATGGTTTTGGTGGAACAGTTGGAATCCCTCAAATAGTCACTTAAAGTGAGTTGCCTGCAGGCGCCATACACAAAGTCACGACTGGATACATATCACCATGGTGAGGTCTAAATTGAACGTATCACAACGGTGAGATCATAATTGGATACATATCACAATGGTGAGGTCACTATTGAATACTTTTGTTTGCCGCAATGTGCAATATCCCAGCTACATGACAGCGGCCTGTAAATAATCAATTCTGGAACAGACAATCTAGATATTGATATTGTGAGCAACGATGCCGCCATAAAGTTATGTTGACACGCAATCAACCAAGTTACCAAACCTGACCAACTGATCCATTTGGTCGTCTATTATGACCAGCACAGGTTAGCAGGGTAACAACAAGTACCATCTTTTAACATCTTGTGGTACGACGCAGCCAGGGGATCGAACTACTGACCTTCCCGCTCTCCGGTCAGATGTTCTCTACACTACACCATGGAGATGGTCAGGTCTGACTAAGTGCCAAGAACCTCATGCATGTTGTAAGAGTCAACTGCAATGAAGTTCGGGTGGTCATGGCTGATTTGAGCAACATCCAAAGTCATGGGGGTACGATGCCACAAAATCAACCAAGCCACTGAGCCTGACCTCCCAATCCAATAGAGTTGCCTTTTACAACAAGCGAGTGCTGGGGCCCTATTCCAACCCAGATCCCCATGGAGTGGTACCACAGAGAAATTGGATGTGTGAAGGAAGTGACACCCCATCAATCATTAGGACACAGAGTGTGTACAAGTTTTTAACAAGCAAGATTCTTACTCACTCAACAGACATTGTCAGATTTTGTTACTGTGGTTTAAGAAAGTCTAAGGTCTGTTTAATACCTTGTCTGACATTATAACAAACAATCTTGTAACCAGGGTAACTGGATTAGTTAGTTGTATTGCTGGTTTTCAAATTAAATCCTCATGAAATGACACAGAAGCTACTTGTTTAGTTCTGTATAGGTCTTTGTTGCATCATTACATTAGTATCTTCGTATGGGTGCTGCTCATAGAGGCGGCTAAGAACCTGATTCAGTCTTTGGTGTCGGCTAGACTATGAAAACAGCTTGTTGTGGGGGGTTTCAAAGCAAGCGCTAAGCCGTCCCCGGTTAGTGCTGAACACGGCAGCCAGGACTGTGACAAGGACATCACGTACGTTACACATCACTCCTGTCCTCAAGCATCTACACTGGCTTCCGGTTGAGTCAAGGATCATGTACAAACTGCTGTCTTTGTCTTACAGGTGTGTCAACAACCGGGCTCCAGCTTATGTCTTCATTCTGCTCCAGCTTCATAATCCACCAAGAACTCTTTGATCAGCAAATCAACACCTGCTATCTGTTCCTCAGTATAGACTTTCAGTGTGGCTTCCCCACCTAAGTTATGAAATGATAATTAATAATCTTCTCAGAAACAACAAGCTCCAGACAGCTGAAACTTCAGGAAGATGTGGAGAATGGCAAAATGTTGTTAGATCTTAATATAAAAAAATAATAATTCTTCATATTTGAAAAATGTATGAAGCATCATCTCCTTAGAAAACAAAAGGGTCAAAGATTGTGTAAGAATATGATTATCAGTCACTGGGCTGCAATATTTATCTAACTTTGAATGTACCTGTTGAGCACCAGCTGCTTGGCATTATAAACTGAACACAATAAGTTAGTGATCATGAAAATTTTGGGGGATATTGTAAAGAAATTTTGTCCTCACTACAAAACAATATACCCCAAAATATTCATGATCCTTAACTTATTTCGGTCAGTATACATAAATTTGTCATCAATATGGTAAACAAGTTAGTAAACCAATGAGGATCATATTATGTATTTTATTCAACATGTCTCAAAAAGATATACAATGATCAAATAAGACATATATCTTGTACACCTGAATAAATAAACACTGTTACCTAAATGCTATCACAGTTACTGGTGTGCTCAGAAAGTCTAAGGTATGTTAGCTTGTCTGCCGTTATAACAAACAATCTTGTAACCATGGTAACTGATTGTAGGGCTGGGATGGGTAACTTGGGTTCTCAGGTCGGGTAAGTCCTGAGTTGGACCTGGGTACCGTCAGGTCCACCCGGGCCCATGGTTAGTCATGTGACATATTGTTTAATGTTATTAACAATAAAACTCCATGGTGACACTACATGTTGCTAATGTTTACATTTCTTTCTGACTAATCATGCATCCCTTCTGAAGTTTATATGTTTGAGTAAAGATAAAGCTTCAGTTAACTTCAGTGGATCATTTTATAAGTGTATCTAAATAGTTTTTGACAGGACTACGTTAAAACAATTCCTAATCAGACCAGGGTAATAAATATAGACTCATCCCAGTCCCACTGGATTAGTCAGTTGTAATGTCTTATTTCTAATTAAATCCTCATAACACGACACAGAAGCCACTCTTTTTACTTGTAGCTTTGAGAAAACTCTGTTGTGTCATCATTAAATTAAAATCTTCATGAGTGCTGCTGATATCACTGTAATTGTCCATTGAGGTAGATGTGTTGCAATTAGTGGTCCCCTGATTATTTGCTTCATTTCTTGTTACTTCCTCTGATGTATCCATCTGTATTTTCTTTAAACACTGAAGAAAAAGACAATTCTTATAATTGTAATACATTCATATATTTATGTATTTAAACTACACCAAAATGACAATTTAATAATATGCAAGATATACAAATGATCTCCACTGATCAGATCAGAGATCTTCATGCTCGCTACTGGTACACATAGATCAGAGGACATCCAGTTACAGGTCATGTCAAAACGACCTTTCACAAACTTTGACTTACCAATGATATGCCTCACAGGAAGCTGACAGCAAATAGCAAAGCTGCTTTCTTGAGCTTTACAGTACTTATTTCAAACTGGCAACTTTCATTCCAGATGACAGTTTTAAAAATATTTTGACTAAGTTCTCGATGCAAAATTCAACTGAAGGAAATAAAATTCTGGAATATCTAACAGATGGCCGAGATTGTATGTCAGACAGGGAGTATCTGATGGTAGGTGTACCCCAGTGTATGTCAGACAGGAAGTATCTGATGGTAGGTGTACCACAGTGTATGTCAGACAGGAAGTATCTGATGGTAGGTGTACCCCAGTGTATGTCAGACAGGAAGTATCTGATGGTAGGTGTACCCCAGTGTATGTCAGACAAGATGTATCTGATGGTATGTGTACCCCAGTGTATGTCAGACAGGAAGTATCTGATGGTAGGTGTACCCCAATGTATGTCAGACAGGAAGTATCTGATGGTATGTGTACCCCAGTGTATGTCAGACAGGAAGTATCTGATGGTAGGTGTACCCCAGTGTATGTCAGACAGGAAGTATCTGATGGTAGGTGTACCCCAGTGTATGTCAGACAGGAAGTATCTGATGGTAGGTGTACCCCAGTGTATGTCAGACAGGAAGTATCTGATGGTATGTGTACCCCAGTGTATGTCAGACAGGAAGTATCTGATGGTATGTGTACCCCATTGTATGTCGGACAGGAAGTATGTCATGGTAGGTGTACTCCAGTGTATGTCAGACAGGAAGTATCTCAGGTACCTGCTTGATTTGGACGATGTTGTCAGCGTTGTCTGTGAGGAGGCTGCCCATATTGAGGATGTTGAGGATGCTGCTGCTGTTTGTGTGCGAAGGGGACCTGTTCAACATAGGTAACATAGAGGTCAACATTTACCTCCTCACACTCACTGTGATAGAAATAAATATATCAAGTCACATAATAGGATGACTTCATGTCCAGTTATTCCCCCCAACAAAATTTGGCAGGAATTGACAGTGGGATGTGCTGATTTCCTGGCAATACAATTGACTTGGTACCATGGCTTTGATCAAGGTGAGCTAAGAAATCAAAAAGGGGAATAAAAGATTCACCAATTATGTACAAAATCATGGATGTCATGTATAGCTAAGTCTGTAATGCTAAGATTGCTTTGTGGAAGAGACCTGGATGTAACAGGTGAAAGCCTATCACCCCAAAAGCGATATATCATAGTACCAGATTCAGTGCCATGTTGTTTGTGATGGTGAGCTAAGGAAACAAACAGAGGAACAAAAGACTCACCGATTGTACACAATATCCAGGATGTCAAGTGTAGCTTTGCTGAGGGCCAGACGCTCTGGCAGAGTGCAAGTGTAAGAGCCCTTAATTCCACCTCTTGTTGCAGTGAAAAACTCATCTGGTGTTTTTTCCTTGGTTGTCAATGCAGTCCACAGTTTGTCAGTGATGCTGACTTTGTAGTCCAGGAGATGGAGGTATTCAGGTTTGGCACTGAGGTGTAATCCCTCGATCAGGTACATCATCCTCCTGGGCTTTTCTCTCCGCTGGCGACAGAGGCTGAGATGAAGCTCCTCAAGGAGCTGAGCTGACTGGGTGTAGCCGTCAGATACTATGATCACCACAAGCTGGGACTGGTCCAACAAGTGGAGTCTATCTTTGTTATACTCACTGATGAAAGTGCATGTCGTGTCTGGTGATGCCTGGTTTATCAACTCAGACAGAATAATAGCAAGGCGGAGTGAGTCGTGAGAAAAGCTGAACACAATCTGTTGGCCACTTCTGTCCACTGGCTTCTCGTTACTCATTGTCTGTTGGTTTGGGTCCTTATGTATGATTTCTTTTCTCTTTATTTTGTACAGTTTATCAAAATCTTGTTTCCGACGGAGCTTTTGAACTTTGTGTGGTATAACTGAGAGAGTTGGCTGAAAAAAATCAAGACGACTGGTATAACTGAGAGAGTTCAGGTTAATAGGTCATTTGATATTTATTTGTTTCAGAATGAACATTATACCTTTACAATATTTGGTCCCTTCTGTCCATTTCTGACCAAATTAATCACTTCCCTGGAGATCTGCTTTAGGGCATCATTCTGATTGGCTGCACATCCATCAAGTATGGTCACATGACTGAAGGTGTGGGGGACAGTCTCCATGGGTTCAATACACACAGGAATCAGGCAGACATCTTCCTGGAAGGATGACATCCACTTGTGAACAACTTGAATGAAATACTCACCACAAAACATTCAACTATTCAGTAATGAAGACATGTTATCACCTGATTAGAAGATAGGTCTGATACAGTGAGTGAGTGTTAGTCTGATGTCAGCAGTGTTCCGGTCTGGTGTAAATGGACTGAGAAGCCAAACAATTGCTTGATATCATGGAACAAGCATGGTGTCAGTGACGATGACATACAAGGTACCTGTTCCCACATATTATTTGTAACCATTATTCTACAACAAGCATAGTATATTTGCGACCAGAACCAATGAATCACCACAGCGGAGTTAACCTTAAAAAAATCAAGGGACAATTAGTCACATAAACATAAGGGACATATTTTAAATAAAATAACAATTTTGTTCCAGTTTGCCTGCCATGGGCACTTAGTTTGGAATACTACATAAATCCTTGTCCTAAAGTTGACCTGAATGCTATTTATCATGAAGACATGATTTTGTTTTGTGGAAAATAACTTCTTTATTGTCTGTAACAATATTTCTACCAATTCATCAGGTGAATACTGAGCTAGCATATTGAGTCAATATATACATGACAAAAGTCAGACTTGAAGTTCTGTATCACTTCTTATGGGGGAATCGTGGTTTGATTGACAGGTGGTGATATGTTAATCCGGCTCCAGTATCCACATGAAGGAACCAAACAAACAGTAAATCCTGTGACAATTAAATGTTTGTGCCAATTCTTACTGAAGTTAAAACCCTAGCAAGTGCGATGTTGTATTCCTCCTGACAAACGTTGGATGTCATGTAGCTCATAGACAGCAGCGCCACCACGCAGCGGGTGCCGTCCATGGCGTCATACAGGCTCTGCTGCCAGAGACTTCCTGCAATGGAAAATAAATAATTGCTTCAAATGTGAGTGTTTGTTAATGGTTTCATACAGCCCTCAGCATTATTCCAGCTATATCATGGCAACCTATAAATAACTAACTAGAGGCAAACATGACAGAAAGAATGAGTGACAATGCTCACATCAGGTACGTTGACAAGCATTCAGTCAAGTGACAGTCTCCCCTAGACAGCCAGACAAGCATGAGGAGCTATGGACCATTTCTGTCGCAGAATCCCCACAAAATTGATGTACTTTCTATATAAAATAACAGCAACTTCAAACAATTTTCGATCTCAGCAGATCTGTTGACCTGTCATGGTTGAATAAAGGTCAGGAGATTGTTAACGTTACCAGTCGTGAGTTCGCTCCTGTCGAAGAAGACACTGAGTGTGGAGTCCTGTTCCTGAAGACACTGCAGCAGAGTCTGGGCAGGTGTCGGGTCTCGATGAGAGTAGGATATGAACACGTCATATGTCGTCCTGGCTGGCAGGGTTGGTACCGAGTTATCTTTGGGCTGGTCAGACTCAGGCACTGAACTCAAAATTGTTATACATGCCTGCTTGATCAGTATCTCAGTTACCTCCCCTTCTTTCCGTTGTCTGCAATAGAATACACTCATAATTTTCGCTAAGTATAGTAACCTTGAACTAATAATAATGTATTACTTGCAAATACAAGGGCCAGCACTAACTTCTTACTGATGTATGTGTGTCAACACTGAGAATACTGGAATGACACTTGATAAGGTGTGCTGATCTTTAGCAAATGTTTACTGACATCTAGCATGGTGTACAAACAAGGAGAAAGGTGCAGTTATATCCAGCAAGGTGTACTGACATCCAGCAAGCAATACCAACATCAAGCAAGATGTACTGAATTCAAGAAAGGTGTACTGATCATAAGCAAGATGTCCTGAACTCAAGCAAGGTGTACTGATCATAAGAAAGATGTACTGAACTCAAGCAAGGTGTACTGATCATAAGCAAGTTGTACTGAACTCAAGCAAGGTGTACTGATTATAAGCAAGATGTACTGAACTCAAGCAAGGTGTACTGATTATAAGCAAGACGTACTGAACTCAAGCAAGGTGTACTGATTATAAGCAAGACGTACTGAACTCAAGCAAGGTGTTCTGATTATAAGCAAGATGTACTGAACTCAAGCAAGGTGTACTGCCATCCAGCTAGGTGTACAGACATCCAGCTAGGTGTACTGCCATCCAACAATGTGTCCTGACTCAACCAAGGTGTACTGCCATCAATAAGGTGTACTGGCATCTAGCAAGGTGTACTGACACCCAAGAATGTGTCCTGACATCACCCAAGGTGTACTGCCATCAACCAAGGTGTACTGCCATCAACAAGGTGTACTGACCTGCACTCCACGTACTGCACCAACTGCATGTAGGAGGGGATGGAGGTGACCGTCTCAACATACATGGGACAGATCTGGTGGTGTTCAGACAGGCGGTTCACACACAGAGCTATGTTGAACTGTTCCAGACACTCCTGACTCTCCACATACGCAGGGCTCAAGATGGTGATGATTCTGGGACAGAAAGAGAGAAGAGCTGCACAATTGAATGCCAACATTATCAATACAATCAGTGACTGAACAAAACACTGCATCACTAAAACCTCCACGTCTGAAGAATTGTATTCATGGATGGACTGCTCAGAGATTGTATAAACACTTTACACAAAAAGAATGAAATATCAATCTTTGCTGTGCACAGTGTTATCTCTGTAGCGAGTGAGTGATGTAGTGAGTGGGTATGGTACACTTACACCCCCATTTTACAGTTGGGTACAGGAAGTACATTGACACCACTTGGACACCTGGATCCCTACTCCAACTATTATCGGCTGTGGGATTGTGAAGAATCCTGACCTGACCGACTGCATCATGACGTGGAAGACATTTTCCTGCCACACCTCGTCGGCTGAGAACTGGAGCTGTTGTTTGTACACCTTCAGTCCAGGGCGAATCTCCGTCAACTGGGCAGCAATTTTGTCGGCCCAATGGTTGTCATGGTTACTGTGGGAGATGAACACATCAATACTCTGATCCTCTTCTGGCTGCAAATATGAAACTGATGGTGAGATACTGGTTGAAACTGATGGTGAGATACTGGATGAAACTGATGGTGAGCTACTGGATGAAACTGATGGTGAGCTACTGGATGAAACTGATGGTGAGCTACTGGATGAAACTGATGGTGAGATACTGGATGAAACTGATGGTGAGAACCTGGATGAAACTAATGGTGAGATATCAGGTGAAACTGATGGTGAGAACCTGGATGAAACTAATGGTGAGAAATCAGGTGAAACTGATGATGAGATGTCGGATAATACTGTTGGTGTGATACTGGTGGTGAGATACTGGTTAAAACTGGTGGTGAGATACTGGATGGAACTGATGGTGAGATACTGGTTAAAACTGGTGGTGAGATACTGGTTAAAACTGGTGGTGAGATACTGGATGGAACTGATGGTGAGATACTGGTTAAAACTGGTGGTGAGATACTGGTTAAAACTGGTGGTGAGATACTGGTTAAAACTGATGGTGAGATACTGGATGAAACTGATGGTGAGATACTGGATGAAACTGATGGTGAGATATTGGGTGAAACTTGGCGAGATACTGGGTGAAACTGGTGGTGAGATAATGATATGTGCAATGGTAACAAGCAAAAGTCTTTCCATTCACATAAAGGCATCATTGTGTTTTGCGTGTTTTGAAATTGGCCATCGAAGCATGGTGGGAACCTTTGTTGTGTCATAAGAAGAAAGAAGTCATCTCAGCACTGCAGGAAAGAATTATTGTGTTACTGAGAAATTCTCCTTATCCCACCTGTCTGAGGTTCTGTGACTCCCACACTTTCTTCAACTTCTTGAACAGTTCCACGGCTACCATGTCTCTCTCAGCATACAGGACAATCTTCAGACATCGCAGAGGGAGGCCGGCCTTGATCCAATGACAAGCTCCATCCACCATTGCCTTTAGCACTGCCACTTTTGACTGACCCTTGAACATACAGAAATAATAAGGTTAGGAGGTACATTCTGAGTGAGCTGAACATTTCGTAGTGAACGCAAATCACTTACATTGCAAGACCAGTGTTTATCAAAATTGTAGATTGCATGTTACAGATAAGTGACATTTCTCTTCTGTAAGAAATACTCTCAAAGTTGAATGTGTCACGGGTTGATTTTCTTCTAACACTGATAACCCAACTAATATAAGAGGCTTAAGGCCTCTGAGGATTGACAATGATATGCCATCAATAAAAGTCTTGGGAATCAAGGTCATGTCCATGCCTTGGACATCTAAAATATATAATTGAGAGTAAGCTGGACAAATAGATAGACCCAGGTAAATCTCTGACAGGCATTTTTAAGTTTATGGTTTACAGATATTTTAAACTGTTTGTTTTTCGGCAGACCAAAATGAAAATAAAATCAAGTTTCCTCTACAATTTTATGGACATGAGCTTGATTTCCAAGACTGTTATTGATGATTGATTCTACAATTTTGTTATAAAAAATTTGATTTTATGATATCCTAAATTAACTATATATGTATATAAAAATGCATTTTGAGATACATAAATGTATGTTTTAGAGTAAAAATATTATTATTATTACTATACTTATCCTGACTCATATAATTAATGGCCGAAACACAGGGGAAGAGGGGATGTCTGGGTGGGCACTTAAGCGTATGAGTCAGGATGAGTATAAATGACATTTTGACTCTAAAAATTACATATGCTACCTTATCCTGACTCATACTAAATGCTTGAATCCCATGGAAAGTGGTGGGTTTCATCTGTGTGTGTGGTTCAGAACGAGATCTGTTCAATTAACCCCTTGGGAACAAGATAATCTTCTTTATATCCAAGCGGAGTACCACTTTGTTCTTGTGAAAGAGAGGAATAAACCTTATAGATTTGGTGGATTTAGTAAAGTTTGTGACAGGAAATATTTGTTTCTGCTTTCTTTAAATGATAATATTCAAGAGAAAGACATAAACTTAACACAATCGTTTTCACTCATGCTTTGAATTATGTAGTAAAACAGGGGAACATGGACTCTTGGCCATTGGTTAATGGACAGTAACCTGACATAAGGAAGACTGCGTGATAATGGGTGAGAACTAGTAGAACGGTCTATCTTCTAGTATGCACTGTCAGTTGTTGTGCAACTACTAACAGCACATATTGATGAATTTCAGCAACATCTTATGCGGAGAAGTCTCTGAGATAGTGATTACCGAAGACTGCGTCCCATCTCCAGAAACAACTTTCCATAATCACTGGGATGGAGCAGTTGCCCTGAAGTGCTATTATTGATATGGCTCTCGCTTCGTGCTGATTGCATTCTGATGGTGGATCCAGCCCTGCTGTCTTGTAGGCTTTAACTGCTCTCATCCAGAAGGAGATGATTGTTCTGAGACTGGATAATGGAATGAACAGTTCTTCTTAGACTTTATCTTCTGGAGCATGTACTCTGCAGATAACTATGCATTGTTACAAATCTTCAGCAAACTCTATAGAATGGATGGACATGAAACTGTCTGTCTGTCAAGTTGACCTGGTAGCCTGGTGAATCTTGGCGATGAAATCCCATCTCAGACTGAGATGGGCCGATGCATGGTTGGAGCTGTCAAATCTTGTGAGAAATCGATCACCTGTATCTCTGACATTCAGCCTGCTGTGGCTTGGGCGAGTAGAATTATAATAAGGACATGACACCATGAGCATGGGCTCTGCTATCATGCATGATAGCGGAAGTTGAAATTAAGAGATATTATTTGGATGAAATGGTCGCGGATGTGAAGGTACTGCAGAAATGACCTTAACCCCTGTGAAGCAAACCCAAATGCAGCAACCGCTGCCTTGCAACAACTGTTGCCAAGCAACCTATGTTGCTTACCTATGCAGCAACCGTTGCCAAGCAACCCATGTTGCTATGCACCTAGCGCTGCCAGGCAAGTATCATTGCCAAATAATGAGCGAGGGCAACTATTGTTGCCAAGCTGACCATCCACTGTAAAGCAGACACTAAGCCATCTGCTGTAAAGCAGAATGGATAAATTGGTTCCTGATGTAAAGCGGGCAACCCTATCCTATAGAATTTATAATTTGGGATGTATCCCAAGACCCCAAATGTAATTTGCCCATCCGCAACATTTTATTCATGACGACATCATTATATACAAACATAATGCTCCAGTAAAGTTCCACCAAATTGACAACTGCAAAGCTTGAATAGCTAGTAATTTAGGACAACACGATGGGTGGGTTGGTGCAACAAACTACAGATGAATGTGAGAATAGAAAATATGTGTTGTATGGCTGAAAGCGGGAGAGCAAGTGCCGCGTGAGCCGATGCCATGCTACAAGATGACATAGTAAGTATAAACAAACGCTCCTATAACGGACATGCCAAGAGCGGATCTAGGCCAGAGACATTGGCACCATGCAAATCAGCACGTAGACGCACAGAATGAAGGTGTTTAGCTGTAATAATAATAGCAACAGTGCCGAGCCTGACATAAAGGCATTTAGTTCTAATCACTAAATGCTAATAATGTCTTCTGGGTTAAATGTTCAAAACCAGCTTTTGTAGAGGTTCATGGACATCACTGGTGAGGCGGTTAAGCACCACATTCAGATCCCAGGCTCTTCTTTAGTTGATCTTCAAGCCTGTATGATTTCAGTAAGGCTATCAGTTCTGGAACCTTGGTGAGCTTGATTCTGTTACCCATGGTAAAATGGAGCTGCCTGCTGCTTGGTAGGTGCATAATATGCTTAAGATTCCTTGTACACCTAAGGTGACATTGGAAGTCTGCAACTTCTGGTGAAGTGGCTTTAGCTGCTGTGAACCCTTGGACCTCGCAAACTGGTCAAAACTCTTCCATTTACCATCATATAGACTTTAAGTACATCAGCAAAGAGCTAAGGCCACTGCCTACCTGCTCTAGCTGAATATCTTCTTCTGGTGAGGTTTAATGTTACATGTTCCATACGTGACGTTTGTAGATATTAAAAACACCTGAATTTCATATTTTGATACCTTAGACACGTACAGAGGACAACAAAGTTTCCACAAAAAGCAAAACATAATTATATGTGAACTCTGACCTGTGCTCCTGTGGCCAGGAGAGGGGTGATGACAGTCGTGTCCTCATTGTTAAAGATGGGGGTCATTGCACGGAACATGTCGCCAATATGCTGGGTAGTTGGTCGTCTCTCAGTCTCACCAGCCCTGGGGATGCATGCATTATATTGACATTCATGTTTGTCTTTGTTGAAATTATTTTTTGTTTATTACTCTTCCATTAAAGATATCCATTTAAATAATATAGTGAGTTTTACACATTTTACAACCGTAGTTTCATGAATCCTGACACCAGTCAATATTACTCCCATAAATGTTATAATCTCTGCATTATCCATGATAAATAAATAGCTGTATAGTAACACCATTGTCTACAGAGTGAACATCCTTGGTTATCCATATCACATTTCTATTCTGTTATGATATTTACCCTGAACACATTCGCCACCATAGCTTCATTTCGGAAGTGAAGTCACCAACTCCATCTCTCCAATCACTAATTTAGCACAGAATTTCTATCACTCGATAACTTGAAATCAATAACCAATCAAGATGCATCTTGTGAATGTGAGTTCGGCATAGATTTTCTTTATAATCACGGCCTTATCCAAGCGAGTCCTTGTTTACTTAAACAAATTACAAAACTGTCATAATTTATTTTTTTTACTTAGAAAACATGTTTATCTGAGTTCTTAGACAGCAGATGAAGTTCTTAAGCTACAAGATGTTTCCCTTGTATTTGCGACGGCATGCAAATATCAAAACGAGTACTGCTAATATTGCTTCTTGTAATATTTTGCATTGTTGTCATTCAAACTCATCTTCCCAAGACCAGGGAGTTAACTGTGCATCAAATCATGTGAGAACCTTGATTAAAAACATGAAAAGATTAGGAAAATATCTGTTGATGCGGAGTTGGCGGTACACATGCTTTGCAAATCCTGCAATCGACCGAAATCTGCACAACAGTTTACGAACCGGATGTCGATTTCGTCATGCGATTTTGATTGGACTATGCATAGACTCATTAGTCCAGCCAAAATTCCATAATTCCAGCCCAGTTTGGCAAGGAAACTGGACTTTTACAGTCAGATAACTCCCTTGCCTTGGGAAGATGTTCAAACTGGCTTCAAAATGAAGTTAAGGTGGCAAGGGGTCCAGGATACTGGTCATAATAGAATAACACAGGATAATCTAGGATCACGGATAGGTCCGTGCTAGGATATAGACGGAACTGAGCCAAGAAACCATCAGTCTCAACATGAAGCTTGTGACGTCATCATCTATTGTAAATGTCCTGACAGCAATGATTTAAAAATGATTTGTTGTTGTTTCTGTTGTTTTGACAAAGTTTGCATAGTTCATTCCTGTGCAAATAGGTGATGACATCTTGACCAAAGCTAAGTGAAATGATTCCTACACCCATACATATTTTCTGTGTACTTAACCTTACAGCAGTATTTTAAATGGCAGGATAGGATCAGCTTAATTTCTCACTGAAACTGTAAAAGCCTTTTTTGCAACAATATTGCTTGACAGAGGACACCATGTTAGAGTGTTCTAGGAAATGCATCTATATTATAACATTTCCCAAAAATACTCAGATGGAAGGAAGATACTAGAGATCGTCAGAGATCAATGAGGAAACGGACACTCTTAAGTTTCCAATGCTAATAAGAAATATAACTATCGCCAACAATAATATCAACCATATACATGTACTCAGTGATAGAATACTAATTTCAGAATTTTGATTGTTAGTGAAGTTGCCCACAAAATTACACAACGCAGATAACAAATCATTATAGTAAGTACTGTCAACATAACTTTGTGTCCAGTTTTCTATATCTCCCATATTCATTGTCCAACTACTTTTGCGAGGATTACGAGTTATGCTTAAATAAAAAAAAAACTTTTACATTTTCTTGATATGTACAGGAAATATCTCTTCACCATAGAGATGTTTTGGGTCTGTCTTATTTCTTGTATTTTAGGACATTTAATACCCCCATCTACTGATGTTCAGATTTTTGGTTGCCATAAGCATTCCCCACCTCTCAAAACACACCAGTCGTCGGTATGGCACATTGTGGGGCAGAGGTTTGGACACCCAGCAATGGAAGTTAGTCCTGAGGTCAAGCTCCTTGTCTTTTGACAGCTCACCGACGCTGATGTTCAGATTCCGACTCAAAGCCCCGATAAGTGTAGATGAGATAGAATGTGAATATCCCCCTGCACAAAGATTCAGTAAAAAAGATCTAAGTTGACAATTAAAACACTGCATAAACTTCTGTTATATACATGTGAAACTTAATCAAATCTAAATATATTTTACATTTGTATGCTTTTCTTGCATTACTCCTTAAAGCATTTTCTCATTTTCTTTGACAGAAAGACTAAGTTGTATGAGGTCCAGCTGAAAAAGAAGTTGTTCCATCTAGTTGTGAGGCTAATCCCATCACACAGCACCCACGTGATCACAGAACCTCACTAGAGAGTTCGAAAACCAGCTCTGGACTGCTGGCGAAATTAATGGCATTAGGGGTTTGTGATCTGCTGGGCAACGAGCAGAGGACCAAAACTGTGGACACCCTTGACATCTTACAAGGCCACATCCCTCAGGAAGTGGCTGGCAAAGACTGGGTCGGATCTCCAAAAGCATACTTCCATGATGGATTTGATGGAGCATTTGCTGTGGAGAGCCATGGTGGATGCGACCGATCAGATCTCATGAGGGTTGTTGGCCCTGGAAGGATCGTCTTGATCCATGTTGAACCTTAGATCCCAAGATGAAAATCCTCAGTGCTCAAACCGGGCACAAGTGAAGTTCCTTCATCTTCAGCCCCCACAATCAATGAGAGTTGTAAAGGATCTGTCAGGATGTCCTGGGAGTTGATTCTTAGCTTTGAAGTCTAAGCACAGCCCAAGGTGAATGGCTCACTGCGCTCAAACCGGATGCGGGTGATGTCAAGTGATTACAACTTTCTTACCCTCACCGCTGAGGTTAAAAAAGGAAGCTGTGTGGACAGGCTCAAATGGTGCACCACATAGCAATTTGAGAACCACTTTCATATCCCAGGCAGGAGGTCGGAACCAGGCTTTTCTGATACTCTAGCGCAGCATTGCTTGTTATGTGATCTTTGTCATTTTGCAATCTTCCAGAACTGCCAACACCCAGTTGAGGGCCACCTGGTAGGTAGTAATGGCGCTGCCCTTTAGGTGTTGTTTCCTGGGCCAAAAAAAAAGGAATTCTGCCCAGAATTGGGGGAGACACAGCAGTAGGACCCTGAAGGTTCTCCTTACGAAAGGACTTGTCATCGTGGAGTAGTCAGGTAGAAGGTTCATGCAACTTGGCTATGGCTTTGGCTGCTCTAGCCATGTAGCCCTTGGCGCCTAAGGCCCTTTCAAGATGCACCAAGTGTGCAGATGAAACCTGCCTGGAGATGGGTGCAGTAACCTGCTGTGTGGATGTTCAGCCACCTTGGTAGTTTGAGTGGATCGTTTGTGGCCAGGTCTTTGAGAGGGACGCTGAGAGTGTCTACAGCCCAAGCCTGTGAATCTGGAACTGGAAAGATGTAAGTCCGGATCTGGAAGTTCTGACTGGTGGCAAACAGGTCTATGTTTGCATAGCTGAGAAGCAGGTTGAAGGCTTTGGGGTGCAGCTTCCACTCCATGGGAGCCACCTTGTTTGGCCTGGATAGAGCATCCGCAAGGATGTTCTGACAACCTGGGATGTGCCAGATCTACCAGATGGAAAAAAACATCTGCTTCAGCAGGGAGTGAGAGAGCACCCCAATCTTGTGGAGAGTCATCTACAAACAGGCATGAAGTAGGATTGGGTCTGGTCAAGGAGACTCCTCCTATAACATTTGACTCCACCATCCACCATAGAAGATGAGGTGTGCGGTGCGACCGTAGGACGATGTAAATCAACAGATCCTGGCACCTTATGAAAGAAGCTAGAAAGTGCTGAATTGGGTGCGGTTGTAAGCTTCCTCTGGATGTCCACTGGCGAAGGACAAGGGACTATTGAAGAGCAGGGAGCAGGGAGCAGATGGCGCTGGTTCTTGTGCCATCTGTCCCTTGGGACAGTTAGGAGGTCCTGGTCGGTCTTGAACAGGCCTTCTATGAACTGGAGAGTGAAGGATGGAGTGAGCTCCGACTTCAGATGGTTCAGTCAATGGAGAAGGTGGGTCGCCAAGTCCTGGTGGTTCGTCAGACAGTATATATGATATACGACTCAAACTGGATGTACCTCAGGTGCAGGTTCGACGCCACTGGCTTGGTGATTTGTGTGAAGAAACATCGGGGCCACAGAAATGCCAAAATGGGAGTGCCTCCCATTGGTAGTGGATACCATTTAAGAGGAACCTGAGGAACCACCTGCCGGAGTAAGAGATAACTTAGCAAAGTCCTCAAAGTCCCCCATGCCACGTCCATGTCCTTCAACATTGGGTTCGGCAGAATGGAGGTAGGCTGAAACCAAATAGTATCTTTTTTATCCACGCCTGGACCCGGGGAAGGAACAACAGCATCCAATCGGTCAGCCATCCACTCTGGCACCTGGCTGAGGCTCAGATGGGTGTCCTTCTACATGGAGGAACCCTGATAGTTAGGCACAAATGAGCCTTCTGACAAGTCTGAGCGATAGTTGAACGATCAGCACACAGGGGAACGGTGCCTGGGCCTCAGTGAATTGAAGCTGCATCGGGAGGAAAACCAGGAGACGCCAACCTGCAAGACCAACACAGCTTTGGTGATAGAGGTGCTACCGGGAAGCGCAGGAGGTGCAACAACAGGCACAAGAGGTGCAGGAGGGGGAGGAAGAGGTGCTGGCGGGAGTGGAGGTGCTACAGGTGTAGGAAACAGTTGAGGCATCAACATCTGATACAGCATGGACTGCATAAAATTTTGCATCCCAGCCAGGTCTATGTAAGGCACCACCTGGAACGACATCTGCATTGATGGGGAGCCATGTGGCAGACCAAACCCCTGAGGGGCCAAAGGCGCAGGTGCTTGAGGAGGCGCTGTGTAGAGGCCCAGAGGTACAGGTGCTGACAGCAGATTATACACTTGGGAAAGTGACAGCATCGGGGAAGTCAAAGGTGCCCATTGGTCATCGGTGCCTGGGGAGACATAGACCTCTGCCTATAGTCATTGTCGTCAGAGGAGACGTAGGAGAGGCAGCCCTCTCAGGCGTAAACGACGAGGACAGCTTCCAACCAGAAGTGGATATGATACTAAGTGTGGCAGGGGTTTCTTGAAAATCAGACATCATAGGGTGTCTGAGAGCCTGCTGAGTAAGATGCTTCTGAGATACCTGGAGGTACTTGGAAAAGCCTGGCGTGAGCTGATGCTGCACTTAGTAGCCACGGAGCAAATGTTGGTACAGTCCAGACACAAGGGGTGGGGATCCCTGCTACACTTTTAACCATGGCAGTGATTACAGCGGGGCATAAATCTGCAATTAAGCAGAGGCAATAATCACAAGGTGTACGAGCAAACAAAGAGAACCTCAAGGCAATTTTTAACCCAGAAACAAAGCGGTTAAAGGATAAAGTTACGTACAACAAAAGTGAGAAAAACACCTTAATTAACAGGAAGCATTAGGTAAGGCTAAGTGAAAGAATTATCAAGCAACAATAAAGAATAAAGAACGTAGAAAGTGACCACGTGGTAAATTCAAAATGGTTAATTGGAACAACAAAGCACATTTTTACAGTGACTTGTAGCCACCATTACATGCAGTATATTAATGTGACGGCAAAAATATGTGGTAAAACAGGAAGTCACAAACCATAAGAATGACATAAATCACAAATAAATGCTGAATAATGAACAAGAAAAAGGATGCCAATAGATTAGCTAGAGCTTTATCATGCACGACTTGTCAGTCTGGTTGACAAGCAGTAATGTGAGGTTCCATGGTCATGTGGGCATTGGGTGATGGGATTAGCAACACAACTAGTTGGAACAACTTCTTTTTCAGTTGGACCTCACACATCTTCATCTTTCTTTAAAGAAAACCCCAGCATTTAATGCATTAAGGAGTAATGCAGGAAAGTTAAAAAATATAAATTATTATTATTTCATCATATAATCTCCATTTTCTCTTGTATTTTTATTTGAAAACATATTGCACAATGCAAATTTACCTTGAGCTGCTGACACGATGACAATGTCCACGGCCTTATCAGGTTGCAGCTGTGTGATGTCCCCTATCAGCAGCTGTATCTCACTTGTACCCAGAGCTGTCTTCAGCTGGATGCTGTCTTCCTTGTGGAGAACCATCCTTCACCTGAATTGGATCAAACACTGAGAGACATCTTTCACCTGCAGAGAATCAAACATTCAGTATCAAGTACCTGAATAAGATCAAACAATGAGAGTATCCTTCATGTGAACAGGATCAAACATTCAGAACATCCTTCACCTGAATAGGATCAAACACAGACAGCATCCTGCACCTGAATAGGATCAAACACAGAGAGCAGCCTTCACGAGAACAGAATCAAACACTGACAGCAGCCTTCACTTGAATAGGATCAAACACAGACAGCATCCAACATCTGAATAGGATCCAACACTGAGACCATCCTTCACCTAAATAGGACCAGACACTGAGAGTATAATAAGAGAGTCAAATTACTGTGAACCACTTTCCTTTCGCACAAATCTTAATATACACCACATATCTTTTCAGTTTGTATTCTCAACCAAAGGTACTTTTTAAATTTTTATATCTTATTTTTTATTTAACCTGGCCATTCCCTCTGAAGCTCTGCACGGATATGAAAAACCAAAATTAATACAGATAAGCTAATCATGGGAGCTAATGAGGGAAAGATTGAGGTGGTGCAGAGGGTCAGATGGGTGTCCATAGTTAGGCACAAAGGAGCCCTATGAAGAGGCTGAGCAAATGTCGTACAATCAGAGGACTGGCTGCTGGAGCGGCGGCTGGACCTCAATGAAGCTGTGTCTAGAGGAAGATCCAGGAGACACCAACCCGCGAGACAACACAGGTTTGGAGGAAGCGGTGCTGCATCTGCCATGATGGGAAACCATATGGTAGACCAAACCCCAGAGGAGCCGAAGGCGCAGGTGCTTGTATAAACGGTTCTTGATTTGGTGGTTTTAGCTTATTCCACGCATCAGGTTGATATTCCATGCTCTCGTGATGTAACCATGAGACGCAACACACTTCATGATTTTTGATGGATTTATTACTGAGACCCGTCATCGTTGGCCACATAAAAAACATGGTTAGGATTCAGGCAAGCATAACACATCTTCGCAAACATACAATTTCACTTGACAAGTTCAATGTGTAATGCAATTGTTTTTGAAAATCCCGCACGTCACTGCATCGCATTCTTCAAATCATAACCTGTGCTCTCGCCCTCACTTCCGTTCAAAGGGACATAACTTGTCCTCGCATACCGCTAATAGTGAAATACACATTGCCATATCATAACACTAAAATATAAATCAACCATTAAATCTCCCAACATTACAGCTTGGTTGTAAACATTTACCACTTTGGTGAAATACAGATACAGTGCTATCAAACAAAGGATCAATCAGAGTGTATCAGGTCCTGGCACAACAAAGGGATGCAACTCACATAGCGAATTTCCATACAACTCCATGTCAAAATAGTGGAATCATTGAGTAATGCACTTTTCTGGGTGCACTTCAGATTTCAATTACCGCCACATGGAGGATCGAACTCGCATTGTCAGCTTGAAGCTAAGCCATTGCTATGCTAGGCTAATGAGTTAATCTACTAGGTTGTAGTCAAAATGGCCTCCAAATTCAAAAGTCAAAATGGCCACAAAAAAGTCAAAATGGGCACAAACACAAAGTTATTAAAAATAAATGAATTCAGTGTGAGCAGGATGTGTACAGAGTAATGAGAGTATATATGTTATATCTGTGTGCATATGGTTTTATGAACTGTTATACAATTTATATAATACAATTAATGTGACACAGTGTTGGAGTTTGTCTGCTTTGAGTTTTGTCAGTGAGGCCGTTATGACTTTTTTGGTGTTGGCCAATCTACTTAGCCAACCCTTTATCAAGGGTGCTATCACAAATAATTAGTGTTGGTTTAACAAGTGATCAGCACCCGATTGTTTACCTTTACGAGGATGCACAGTAGCCATTTACAAAGCAAAACTTGAAACTTGACAAAACAAATTATGCTCAAATTACATTGGATTCATTATAATTTGTTAAAAGAGAGATCTGTGAGGCGAGAAGCAGAGCTGCGCCTGGTAAACTGCAAGTGCATCCGTTGCTGTGTGGTAATAGTCATTATTACCCATTGGTTTAGAAATAACAGGAACCGACTTAATAATAATTGCATGTGCACTAGTGCAAATATCATTTCATGCACATCAGTGTATTGTTTGCGTCATCCGGACGTCAATGTTGACACCATTCAAATCTTATAGTGATGTAGAGTCGGAATGACATCACACCAGAAATAACGTCATTATAGCATTAAGATTGTGGTTTTCCAAGATTTTGGTTGTGATCTGAGCATTTTTAGGGCTACCTTTTAACATACCGTATTCGACATAATAAGCGCCCAGGGCGCTCTCAAAACTAGAAATGGGGGGCTCTTATTAGAATATTATTTTAGTGAAAAAAAAACAGAGTTAAAAGATAAAGTTTGTGGTGTATGCTGACAGCCTGAAATGTTTATATACGACAGATATATTTTCCCAGAATTTATTTGCCCATAAAGGATGCATATAACACACAAGTGCGTATTATGCGCGAATAAATAAGTCTTGTGTACATTGATCAATCGGAAGGGGTGCTCATTGGGTTTGTTCACTAGCCAATATATTAGCAAATATCGCCGTGGGCGCTTATTAGAGCGGGGCGCTTATTACGTTGAATACGGTATATATTTACGAAACTTGCTCTAGCTCAGGAACTACAAGAATTTTGACACTCATTTCGGAAAATCAGTATGGCACACATGCTGGTATATAATCTCTTTACGAGTCAACACCTACTTAGACTGAGGTATGCGATGTCATTACCATTGAGCAACGAAGCAATGCCACCTTAGGATCATATAGCTTCAGCCGCAGGGTTTCACGACACGGCCGCAGGCTAAAACAGCACCACAGCAAAACGTCACCGATTTCTCTGGCGAAAACGGCACCGCATTTGGCGAAAATGGCTACTATGTGTCGGGCGAAAACAGCACCTCTATTTTTAATAACGATAACAACGATTTTTGTAGTAATATATATGGTTTATTTACATGGTATTTGATGTATTTACATGTCATTTGATGTATGTGATGTATTTACATTGTACATACACCTGTATCACCGATGCCGATCACCTCTACAATGACAGGAGATACGCATTTCAAACAGCAGAAAGGGAAGTCTTCTTCAGTCCGGCAAATTTCTCTATAACGGGCCCCAGAAAGTCCGGTTCCACATACTGATGGGTCCACTGGTCACAGTTATCACAGGGCACAGCATGTTGATTTTTTCTGACATTCTTCTTGAAAGGCCATTATGAATAATTGTGACCTGACAGCACCATGTTAGGCCTCTTAAATACAGTTTCAGCTTAAATTGAGTAAAGGTACTTAAAACTTCAAAGCGTATAGTGTTTTCACAATAAGTTAACTGCGCCTCCCAATCAGAGTCGGTGAGTAAATTGGAGTAGGGGGCTAATTTCTTACTTGTTTTATTTCACAATTATTTGTGTTTGTAAGAGACGATGTGAGTTAAATTTCAATTATTTTTCTTCAAAGCGTGTTATGTTTTCACAATAGTTGCGTTGCGTACAAGCTAAGTTGGATTATAGTTGGAGTTGAGGCTAATTTCTAATGCAAACTTGTTTTAACATCTGACAATTATTGGCGTTTGCAAGTTACAATGTAAGTTTAATATCATTTATTTGAAAAAAAATAAGGTGCCGTTTTCGCTTGAGCCGAGGTGCCGTTTTCGCCAATCGGTGACGTTTTGCTGAGGTGCCGTTTTCGCTATAACCCTCACGACACTAGTACAAGCGATGCCCGCTGTCTTACCTCTTGTCACTGGCCTTTATTATTGTGAGGCTGGGACATTGTCATCCACTGAGCTACCAGGGCTACCGCTAGCCATCATGTTGATGGGTCTTTTTCAAAACTTCGGGCCTGGAACCGACTGCGCAACCTGTCGGATGCCTGTCAGTATTGTCACCGGTCTGTTAACGTCCAACATTCCTTTACTGTGTTGGTGTATTATTATTGTTGTTGTTAGAAACAGGAACAGGAAGAAGCGTGTGCAGGTTAATTTAAGTTGTGGATTTTGGGATGAAACGAAGTATTGCTGAACACTTCTTTCAAGTGAAAGCTGTGCAGATCATGCTTTGTTAAATGTTGAAATAATTGATATAAACGCGACAACGCGATATTTTTGACATTTTCGTCAAGGTAATATCATGAGTGAGTATTGTTTAACTGCGCTTTGTATAATATATTTCTGTCATATTACAGCATGTCATTTTAATGTGGGACGAGAGGACGAAGTGATACAGGTCTAAGGCGTTAACACTTCGGTGAAACCCACAAACCTAGAATCGGGATCCAAACCGACGACCATTGGTTTCTGACACGCCTTGGGGAAGCAGCGAATTAATCGATTCAACAGTGCCCTTTCATCGATCAAGAAAATTACTGGAGACGGGTAGTAAATGCGAAAAAATATAGAGAGATTTTTGTTCTTGCTGTTAGTTAAGACGTTGCTTAACAATATAAACACGACTATAACGATATATGAAATAATTTCAAAGACACGATCAGAGATTTGTTTTCATTTCGAGATAAATTTTTTTATTGTAATATCACTTATATGGCATGAAACTCCAGGCCTGTCGACGATAGCCGTTTCCATCCCCATCTTCGCAGCAATATTGTATTTCACTCTCACGCTCTGCCACCCAACCACTCACTCAAGAAGTTGACCAGTTTTTTATTTCTCTCATAACCCCACACGCTTACTGCAAGTTGGCGACGACTAAACAAGCGTAATATATAATATAATCGTAATTGTACCACGAATGTTTTTGTCAAGGAGGCCCACAACACAGCAATGCAACATAATCAGAGTAAATGGTATGTGGCATAAACATTGGGGACTAACTACAGAGGAAAAACAGCACCAATGCGTTATCCCCCCAGGTTCGTGACAACAGTTTTATGAAATTTAGGTCATCGACAATGTTTATAAAACTGAAATGCACACCTATTAGAAGTAAAATTCTCCTTAGGTTCGTGATTACAGTTACGTTAAACACAATACAAACCTACACCATGTGTCATTAATCACGGTTAAGTTCTTTTGCTTTCTTAAGGGATCGGTCATTTATTACAGGTGGGTGGCTGGGGATGTTGAGATGTTTTTGATGCACTAATGTACTGAAAATAATCACCCTTCACTAATGCTTGTCATATTTTTGGATGAACCTCTCAATGACCTTGCACATTTTAACACGACCCTCCCCAAAGACGTGTATTATTTTTTATGGCCCTCTCCTACACACACCCCACCCCACCCCTAATAATTGACCGGACCCAAAATCGGTTACATCTGACTTTTAGGGTTACATCTGACTTTGATGAAGCTATGGTGGGTTGAAATCTGATTCCATGATTCCATGGTCATGTTTCTTCAGGTTCCTTGGTTGGATTCTCCAGTATGTGAAGTTAATGTTTACCGTCTTAATACTGTTGCCAGCGGCACAACCCGTCCCTCACTCACTCACGTCCCACAACAGTTCGAAAGCACATGTCGGGCAATAAATCCTAACGGTTTGTTCTTCGTCGAAATACTGTTGCCAGCGGCGCACTCACTCACTCACTCACGCCAAACAACTGTGTACAAGCACATGCCGATCATTAAACGTCCATGCGGGGATCCAATCCTGACCGTATTCGTGAAAGGAGAACACACTAACTACTGGGCTACATGTGAGTAATGTTCTTTGAAAAATGAAATCTAGTGTCATTGGACCGAAAAACAAGATCAATATCAATTCCGTAATGTTGAACTTTAATGATATATCATCGCATGTACAAATGATGATGCTGATTCCTATTTTCAAGGCGAAATTTGAAATACTTTAAAATTATAAACATTTACAGTGATTCTAGTCAAATCATTTCGGTATTTACAATAGAGCACACATGTCCGGAAACACTTGTATATACAGTCTTGCGAAGGAACACGAACGTTGCCACAACAACAATAACACCGATATCTACTCCAGCCAGAGGTAACAATCACTCATGAAGCTATTAGTCACATGACATATATGTCCCGGAACCTTCCTGAGAAATGACCTATGACTTTTGACCTTCTGTTGTAACCTCTGTGTTGGCTTCGTCACGGGTACTGGGGAGGCTTTCTGATCCGTTTCTGTAACTGAAAAGACCAATATGATATGTGTGATTGATGACAATAACATATAGCAACAAGATGTGGGTCATACGCGGAGATCCAGATCCTTCCCAACGATGCACAGACACGTTTCTTTTAAAGCATACAAAACATTTAGAAGTTTCATAGGTGATCGGATAGGCTATAGGTAACGGTCTTACAACATTGGACCCGTGAAGATCCGGGGAAGACTAGGTCTTCAGCAACCCAGGCTTGCCGTAAAAGGCGACTATTCTTGTCGTAAGAGGCGACTAACGGGATTGGGTGGTCAGGCTCGCTGACTTGGTTGATGCATGTCATCGATCCAAATTGCGTGGATCGATGCTCATGATATCAATCACTGGATTGTCTGGTCCAGACTCGATTATTTACAGACCGCCGTCATATAGCTGGAATTTTGCTGCGGCGTTAAACAACAAACCAACCAACTTACAACATTGGGACTAAATACTTTGGTAAAATACAACAACTATCGAACGCAAATTGCTTCATGAATTAAATGCATTTATCTCATCAGAAAATGATGAGATCCTTTTCCTAAAACCTGTAAGCGTTTTCGTGTGCTACAGTATTAATGTTATTATTTGATCAAGAGGCAATGGAGCTATACGAATGCACCGTGCTATTTCAAACAACAAATGAAAAATACTATTGGCTACTTACTGACAAAGGGTTTCTTGTTTGTTTCCCGTCGTGACTGCCAGCTTGACATCACGTGACTCATCTCTGCGTTCACAAGTTCATCACAGTTGTCCACAGCATCATAGAACTTGGCCACCTTGGCCATGTCGATTGTCTGCTCCTGGATGATGGTGGAGTGGGACAAGGTGGACGATGGCGTGTTCCAGGGTGCCCGGATGGAGAGCTGCTCGCAGTTGGTGGAGATGAATCTGTTGGCACACTCCTCCCATCTCTTGACCTTTTTTGTCTCCACGTCGACGACTGCCCACTTCCACTGGTAGTCACGGTGGACGTCCAGTAGGCCATTTGCCTGAATAATGTCAGGTATCCCCACGTTATTAAGGCTTCCTTCAACCATATGGGTCAATTAAAGTTCAGATATATTCTAGACTGAACAGTATTTTAGTTTTAAAACGGCGTTTCAGCTTAGTGTACATAGGAACACAAACGTTGGCCCAGGTTAAAGTGTGAGTGGGTGAGTTGTTTGAACATTATTTCGGTTATACCAAGGCATGTCAGCGTAGTGTAGAGGAAAGAAAAGGTGACGCAGGTCAAAGAGATTGTGATGCAGGTTTTACCACTATGGTGAAACCCATTCGTGGCAGGTGTATTGTGCTGTCAGGCATAGGCACATACTTGGGGTGAATCTCGAATTCGAACCCACTACCGGACCCACACAACTGGGCCACCCGTACACAAAGATGCCCATACAAAATGGTTAGGCAAATGGAAGAATGGAAAAGCTGATGAATTGCAATACACAAAAAAACACGTGTATTTTGAGGCTGCGGTATTGAATGTACCTACCCGCCAGTGGCCAGATTTCTCCGGATACTCGTGAGCCATCAATGCTTTCTTGGGCTTCCAGGATCCAAGACATGGCTCCGAGCCTACAACTGCGAGAGCTTCCCCTGCCTCACAGTGGTAGTGAGTCTCCAGCCTCAGTGCGCAGGTCTGGGAGACAAAAAAGTTCGGGTCCCGTCCCCACGATGAATGGATCACCCCCTCGTGGTAGGACAGTCGGGTCCTGAAATGCAGAATCAGACTTTAATTTGCAAGTAGTAATTACAAATTACTCTATTCTACTTGTGTAAACACTTGATAAACTATAAAATAACCCATGTGTTAATGTTTTGAGTTGCCACATGCAAAACCTTTAAATAATACTAAATTCAGACAACAACCAAGCACAATTGGAAATGGGTTGGATCACCTTCTATCGTATGCGGGATCCAAGAAGAGGACTTTCTTGTCGTCAGCCACAAGCCACGACCATTCAAAGGATGAGGATACCGGAAGTTCGGCAGTGACCTCCCACACATCAGTTTCAGAAGCGGAGGGCTTAGCAATCAGCTGTTTTTCAAGTCTCCAACTCCCTAGGCCACTGATTGAGCCGATGACAGCAACGTTCACAGCATTTCTTCTTCCTTTGTCGTCCTTCAGACTTCTTTCAATGTAGTCTGGAAGATGGTACAATTTGAACACGACCTTCACCACATCTGGAGACATGTTGCACTCACAGCTGAAAAGTCTTTCAACGTAAGATACGAGACGCAAGCGCTGTGTCTACGCAAATGAAGGTTGCCGAGTAGTCATTATGACGTCACAGACTGAGCCACTTTGACGTCATAAACAATACTACGCGTGTGAGACCTCAGTCTACTGCATTGTACCACGTCAGAGATCCCACTGGCTTGCTCTTACTTGAAATACCAGCCGTAACAAATCGAGTTTGTTTGTTTGTTGTTTATCGCCGCTCTCGGCAATATTCCAGCTATGACGGCGGTCTGTAAATAATCGAGTCTGGACCAGAAAATCCAGTGATTAATATCATGAGCATCGATCCACGCATTTGGGATAGATGACATGCATCAACCAAGTCAGCGAGCCTGACCACCCGATCCCGTTAGTCGCCTCCTACGACAAGCATAGTCGCTTTTTACGGTAAGCATGGGTTGCTGAAGACCTATTCTATTCACGGGTCAACAAATCGAGTAAGAAGACGAGTAATTGTTTTTGGAGACTGGCATTTCTTCTGGTTGTGATATGAGTTCATACTTATGTATTTAAGTTGTTCCTTTTATTTTTTCTAACTTCAGCAGAGGGAATATATTTTTTACCATTAGAATAAAAAATAAATAAAACGAAGTGCATGAGCACGACATTCGACAGTTGGAAATGACTTCTATGGAGGAAGGTCATCATAAAGCACTTCAGATTGTTTTCGAGGTAGTCCTATTCCCTTCTATCATGCATAACACCATCTCGACTGAAAACATTGATTCACTATCTCCCATTTCATGGATCTGCAATGTATCGGGAGGGGCCTCTGCACCAGCCCATAACAGCCTAGAAGGTCCAGGAAGGGCCACCCCATGAGTGTGCACTTACACCTTTTAGAAGATTTAAGGTTTCCTATAGTATGCCTTAAAACCTACTGATGGGCTTAGTTGTACAAAAGTCCATTTTAAGAAAACACAGAGAGGTAACGAAGTTGAAATTGTTTTTTGACTGTCTCCTTTAGAATGCAGGAAACTCAGTGAAGATTAATAAAAACATGTTTAACGTTGAGTTTGTTTTCGATTGTTTTCTTTAGATACAATGTAGGTAGAATAAGAACATATTAAATAGATTGAACTTCTCCATAACCTGAGTATAATCGCAAATGTACTATATGTACCGTACTTGAAGTCGAAATCAGTAAGGTATCACCACCATGGGTCTCAGGGAGGAACCCCACAAGTATTCCTTGATGGGTACGACGATTACATGGTGACCAGGGTTACCACCTCCACCCCCACCCCCATCCCCCTTTGGATTTATCACCACGTTTGTGGACTTGCTTCAAGGCAATCGGAGAAGTCGGAAGGTGCCAAGATGACACAGATACACTTTAGCTCTGCGCCCCCACCTCCGAAGAAGGTCTGCAGGGAGTCGGAGGGAAGGCTGGTGCGTCTCAAATAGAAGCTGGTCAGTTGGCAGAAGACACCTCTTGAATACTTGGATGTTGTTGGACATTTGCTGAAGCTGGGCTGAAAACAGACATTGTACTGTACTGTGAGCAGTGTATATTGTGTATGTAGTGTCTTTTGCAATATACTTTTGTCTAAACTTTTATTTGTCTTTCTAATAATGTGATAATATTATATGTTATGTCAAATGATAACATTTCTGCTGCATAAGTGTTAAAAGTGAAATATGTTCCACATTCAAGTTGAATGAAGACATCCTGTAAATAATTCAAAATATGTGACTTCTGGCGAATAATTCAAAATATGTGACTTCTGGCGAATAATTAAAGATATGTGACTTCTGGCGAATAATTAAAGATATGTGACTTCTGGCGAATAATTCAAAATATGTGACTTCTGGCGAATAATTAAAGATATGTGACTTCTGGCGAATAATTAAAGATATGTGACTTCTGGCGAATAATTCAAAATATGTGACTTCTGGCGAATAATTCAAAATATGTGACTTCTGGCGAATAATTCAAAATGTGTGATATCTGGTACACAGGTAACTATTGACTAATCCTGGTATAAGCTGTTTGACAATTGGGGCGTCTGACAATTGGGAGGTTACAATTGGGGACTGAGTGGTAATCAGTTAAAACAGACTATAGCCAACAGATAATTATACCGTAACAGAGACCATATATAATCTATTATATGATCTCTGTCTGTAAACTCTGATCTTTTCAGTCGACTGGCAAAGTGGGAATCAACTATTTCAGTCATTTGACGGCTTGTCAGCTGGGAGGAAAACCCGACATAGCAGGTGTGTATGGTGCTGGGATTCGAACCCACGATCATAGGTTTCTGGAGCGCCTATTGGACGCAACTATGCACACCGAGTTGTTCCGCCTAAGACGACTGAGGCAACAATGCCCCCTCGTCGATTTAGAATATTATTGGAGACCGGAACTAAATACAATAGAAATAGAAAGAGTATGTTTCTTGCTGTCATACGTTGTTTTTTGTTGTTGTTTTTTTAAAAACGACAACGACAATAGCGATATATGAAATAATATCTAAGAAACGATCAAAGATTAGTTTTCATTTTGAGAAAAATGTCGAAGATGGCCGCTTCATGATGTTGTACGGCGCTTCTATCACCTATTAATTCTCACTCACTCACTTCAGAAGGTGATTGGTTATTGAATCCTTTTATAACCCTAAACGCTTATTGCAATTTGTGCATACAGCTGTTGACTACTAAGCAAGCATAATATAATATTTAACAAGCATGGGTTACTGAAGACCTATTCTAACCCGGATCTTCAAGGGAACTTAATACAAACCAATACAGCCACTGTAAAGTATATTGTATTGTAATCTTAAAGTGAGTGGGTGAGTATGGTTTTACGCCGCTTTTAGCAATATTCCAGCAATATCACGGCGGGGGACACCAGAAATGGGCTTCACACATTGTACCCATGTCGGGAATCGAACCCGGGTCTTCGGCGTGTCGAGCGAACGCTTTAACCACTAGGCTACCCGACCGCCCCTAATCTTAAATGGTTACATCTGACGTATATGAAACAATGGTGGGTTGAAACCTGATACTCGATGTCTCTTCTTTTGATTTCGTGGTTGGATTCTCTAGTATAGGTGAAGCTCATTGTTCATCATGTTCATGCTCATCGTCGTTATACTGTTGCCAGCGACGCACGCACTCACCCAGACAAATGTTCACAAGCACATATCGAGCATTAAACGTCCATGCGGGGATCCAATCCTAAACGTATTCGTGAAGGGCGAACACACTAACTACTGGGCTACATGTGATTAATGTTTGTTTAAAAATGAAATCTAGTATCATTGTACCGAAAAACAACACCAATAACAATTCCGCAATATTTAGTTTTAATGATTTATCATCGCATGTATAAATGATGATATTGAAAGCTATTTACAAGGTGAATAAACAGTGATTCTAGTTGCGGTTTATACAATACAGCACACATGGTCAAAAACACAACAAAGGATACACTGGAAAAAAAACAGATTCCAATTAGGGAACATGAACGTTGCCATGGCAACAATGACGCCATAATATTTACTCGTTGACTTGGTTGATGCATGTCATCGTATACCAACTGCGTTGATCGAAGCTCATGATGTCAATCACTGGATAGTCTGGTCCAGACCCGATTATATAGAGACCGCCTTCATATAGGTGGAATATTGATGAGTGCGGCGTTAAACAACAAACAAACAACAGGAACACAACAGCCTCTGTCGTCTATAGGGGATGCCCGGAGAGCAGAAGGTCGATGGTTCGATCCCCGTGGCCGCGTCACACCAAAAGACGTTAAAAAGGGTACTTGTTGGTACCTGCTTTGGTGTGGCATTAAGCCGGCTCGGCGTCAGCTTATCATGTCTGAATGGGGTATCCATGTTGAACTGAGGCATGACATGGGATGAGATGGATTGACAGCTACGGCAGGACCGGAACCAGCTACTAACGCCAGCTCAGTTGTGTCATTGACATTGCTAGGTTGACCTTTGGAACACCCCTATAGTCTGTTTTCAATCATCTGGTGTTACCAAATGCAGCTGCTATAATTTCACTGAAATATCTCTGAAAGCAAAAATATCTCTTTTTATGAAGTTAAAACGAAATTGAAAACTTCTTAATTACTCGTGAACGATTTTCACATTCCAAGAATGTTATAGATACTTTACAGGACCATGTAACTAATAAATATAACAAACAGACGGCCTCGTCTGCGAGTTTGTTATTATTATTAGTTTCGAGGTCCTGTGCTTACAGATACCAGATACGATTTTGCTGTGAGTGCTGACAAACAAGTCCGATATATATTTATACTCACATATATGCTCTACATGCACTCGTTCTTGAGAGACATTGAAACGATCGAGTGATTCACTCATGACATAGCGTACGCAATCCAAACAAGGTCTCGGTTCTTGTCAAACTGTACATCTCTTTCGACAGTTATATTCCGCCCTCAGTATTGTATTAAAAAGTGATAATTACTCAATCCAACATTTTAGAACATTCAAGGCCATACCTTATTTATATCTATTTATATCGATGTAATACAACCGTCCTATACAATTCTATCTCAAGCTATACATGCACTGCATTAATTGTGACCTAAATCGGGACTCAAAAATCTGGACCACAGCTTATGGGCGAAGTTCGTGTATTTATAAAATCCGGTGTACGATCAAGGTCGAAACTAGACTGTCTTTCCTTCCGCCAGCCAAACGGAGTCAACTATCGAGCTAGCTACCACCTCTACCGTTTCCTTTATACGCCATCTGGTCACGGTGTTATTTAATCAGTAGATAGCTTGTGCTTACAACATGTACAAGTGACCAGTGTTTGTGCAGTGAGAAAGCCACGCATATTTTGTCTCATAAAATCGGACAAACCGTGATATCGACACACATTGGAGGATGATTCCATGACCTACATGTGCGCGCGCATCCACAGTGGAACCGATGCACTAAAACCAGGCAATCGATAACACTTTGGTAAATACGCGATTGTACACATGTCGTCATATGTCAGGCGAATGTCATGCGATGACTGGGTCGACATGCAGATACTTTGTAGTTGTGTCTACAAACAGACAACCCATCAGTTATTGTCTATCGCCGTGTTTAGCAATGTTTATACGATAGCTACTATGATGTGATTGCGAAACCAGCGGCCGATGTTATTCATGCTTCTAAATTTAATAATTACTCAGTTTCCCAATTCCGCGGGACTACAGGGTAGTCTCATCGATAAGTGGCGGGTTCTGTCCTTTAATAGACATATCTCTGGAT